AAACCTAGAAAAGCAACAGTTTTTGTCTTAGGTTCAACCTCCTATTCTGCGTATCACAAGGTATTTCAAAGTAAAATGTTATCAATTGCAAAGTAAGATGGGAACCGAATTGCTGATACAGTAAAGAAAAATAATTGAAGTATTGATCCTGCTTTAAAATTAAAGCAAATGTTCTTAGCAAACCTATGAGTATAAGGGTACTTAAAAATTTTCATGGAAAATATAATTAAATGATGAATGGAATTTTCCACAACTTTTTGATGCCCTTGTATATGTCACGTAGGTAAATGGGTGATTTAAATGTTTCACACATATAACCTTTCTAAAATGATATCATCTTTAACATTTTTTGTGATATATAAAAGTTTAAATCTATAATAAATTAAATTAGCTTTATAAATTTAAGTTTTCTAAAGAATGATAAATTATGGAATCATGTAACTTTCAGATTTGGAACATATATTATCACTTCAATGACACATACTGCTTTATAGTTGAGGAAACTTGCCCCAAAAGGTAAGATGATTTGCCTGGCACCATATGGATTCTAATCATAAGATATAATTTTATGATCAACTAATTACAATGAGGAGAAAAACTCAAAAACCAAACTTACTGCCATTATTTTGAGTTATATTGAGTTTCTGAGACTGTAAATCTTTATGTGAGTAGGAAACCTCATCTTTCTTCTGGGGAGGAGATGGTGATTTTGAACAGCCGACTTTGTGGTCAGCAACCCAAAGCATAATTGACTATGCCACTAGGGCTTTTTTTCCTGAAATGTATGTATGTGTGTATATATGTATATGTGTTTGAGTGAACACACATGTATATATATGCACATATACATGCTCACACACATATAATAAGGAGCCTTAGTGGTACTATCCATTTAGTGTTGGACTAACTACAGGTAGATGATTCAAACTCACCAGCCTCTTAAGGGCTCTTGTAAAGACCTTGAAACGCTATATGGAATCATTATGAGTAAAGAATAGACTTGATGACAGTGGGTTTGCCTTTGTGTATATTAATAGACATATAATATATACTAGGGAACTTCAAAAAATTAATGGGACTTTTTTTCCAGCAGTATATTGAAGCTGCCCTATTGTGTAAATGCTACAGATTCCCAAACTATTTGGCCTACTGTACCCTTTTCAGGGGAAAAAGAAATCACGGTCCTGTAACAATTAAAAGTTTTTGTATTATTGTCTATAGTCCGGGATAAAGTGTAGGTATCTACTTTTGCAGCCCCCCTGGATCATTCCAGCACCCCTAGGGCACTGTGTCACCTACTTTGAGGAACACTGGTAAACATACATGGACATTATAACAAGGTGCTTTTGTACAATCTTTCATTTGGTCTTCCTTATTGGGTCATCTTTTACATGCTTATGAGGTGATTGGAAACACCATGGCTTGGTTGAGGCCCAACTTAGTCTTCAAAGCATCCTTGTTTTCAACCCTTTAAAGAGGTCATTTGCACCAGATAGAACTAATTCCATTTGTCCTTTGATCCCTTGACTACTTCTTCTGTGAGCATTGATTGTGAATCTCTGCAAAGCAAAATCCTTGACAACTTCAATCTTTCTCTATTTTTTATGATGTTGCTTATTAGTTCAGTCATGAGCATTTTTGTGTTCTTTTGTAAGAACATTTTGTAATCCATACTAAAGTCTGAAATCTCTGATCTTCTTCAGAAAATGTTCCCAGTCCTCCTTACTTTCAGCAAACAAGGTTGTGCCAGTAGGCCTTTGAAATGGGTTAGTTGAGACCCCTTTCTCTGAGGACGTAACGTAGAAGCCAAGATCTTAGTATCAGAAAGAGGCAAGAAATGAGGTAAGCCACTCAGACAATTTCCTTGTCTATGAAAAGGGCTAGGCTTGCAGGATTAGACTGGCTCTTTGTTTTGCAAACTTTACATTTTCTGATAACTATTTTCTAATATTTAATATATATTAAAGTCATTTAACTTGAAGTTTCTTCTTACGGAAGTCTATTATTACCACGAATGGAAAACCAACATCACCTATCCTAAATAGCTGGCCTGAAAACTGTAGCATAAGCAGTGGCTCTTAATGTGTGAACCAGGGAATCCTGAGGAAAGGAGGTCCCATAATCCTCTTCAGGAGATCTATAGTTCATTTATAGTGTTTTTATATTCCATTAACCTTTAATAAATTGCCGCTTGTGGAGTCTTGGTATCATATAAAAAAACAATTACTACTAGTATCTGAAACCAAACTCACAGCCATTGAATCGATGCTTATCCATAGTGACCCTAAAAGACAGAACAAACCTACGCTTATGAGTTTCTGAAACTGTAACTCTTTATGGGAGTGAAAATCCTTGCCTTTCTCCCTTTGAGCGGGTGGTGGTTTTGAACTGCTGACCTTGCGTATTGCAGCTAAATGTATAACCACTACACCACCAGGGCCCCTTGTAATATATGAGAAGGTTGTTAAAATGCTTCACCATTTTCCAAGTTTATACCTCTGAGAAAATGGATTATTTTCATAGTCTTCAACCAGATAATAGTTTGCAGAGTGCATGATGAAGCAGATATGAAACCCACCTGTTTTCTATTGAGCCAAACATTACAGAGATACTAAAATGTATAAAATGCACTCAATATTTTTTTCTTAGTATTAAAGTTATTTTTATGTGGTGTCCAGGAAGTACAATGATTAAGCATTTGGCTGCTAAGTGAAAGGTTGGTAGTTGACAACCTCCCAGCCCCTCTATGAAAGAAAGACATGGCTGTCTGCCTCCATCAACACCGTCGTCTAGGAGACCTTGGGAGGCAGCTACTCCATAGCATGAGGCTGCTCTGAGTCAAAATCAACTCGATGGCACCTAACAATTCATAAACTATGTCAGCATATAATGGATTATTGTTCTATTAAATCAATTGATAAATATTAAAAGTTTATCTTCAGTTTCATTAATATGTATTGATACATAAACTATCCACATAAAACAATCCTCAATTTTGAAGAATGTAAAGGAAT